GCTTCCTGCAGGGTTTAGTGGGAGTCTCAGTTTCCCTCGGGGTACAGCCAGGACACCAGCTCTGCCCAGTCTCGCCACAGGTTACTCAAGGAGGGCTGGACCTGTCCCCACTGCTGAGATCTTCCTGCCTCACAAGGCACCACATCCACCCTGGCCCTGAAATGCAGCTGTAAGCACCGAGAGCCCCAAAAGCTGAGCAACCAGGAGACCCCCAACTTCTGGGACAGCACCGGGCCATGCCTAAGCCGACAGTGCCACCTGCTGCCACTGCACACCCGTCCCATGCTGGGGACAGGGACAGCACGGGGCTCCTCCGGGGCAACCACAGCTTCTGCACTGCCTCCAGCTGCCTGCCTGCCTTCAAGCTTCTCCCAGCTCCCACATGAAGCCCAAAAGCACCGACCTGTCCACTTTGGAGGACAAGGAGACTTGTGGAGTACACCGTGCCCCAAATCCCCCAACAGGTACCCCCAGCCACGAGCCCTTCCTGGACCTCCCCCATGTTCAGCCCCTCAGTAACCCCACCCAGATGAGCCAGGATCCTCTCTCATGAGCCACATAGAGCAGGAGACACCCTCGGAGAGCCTGCAAAATCAATTAGAATTTTTTATTAAATATACATCCTCTCTTGGCACAAATCTTCAAATATATAAACATTATATAACAAAGTGTCTTCACTGCAATAAAATAGAACTCCAGATCCGAGAAAAGCCATCAGGACTGACACACACACACTCGCACACAGGGGTGGGGAGGACACCTCTTGACAAAAGGCATTTTAACAGTGTTTGTGCTGAGAGATGCACAGACCACACGGGCAGCAGGCTGGCACCCCTGCCTCACACGATGCCCCGGGGGAAGCGGGAGGAACTGGCCCCTAGCACTAAGAACGAGGCTGGTTTGGAGGAAGGCCACCTCCTCCTGGGGCCCAGTCCAGGTTGGGAGGGTGCAGAACACGTGCCCTGGCTCTCTGCAGGGCCCAAGTGCCCAGCTGGGATCCTGCCACATCTCCCCACCACACCCTCGCCCTCCTGCCCGCCCAGGACTGGCACCAGGCTCGCTCGGGGTTGCCACAGTGCTTCTGCTCAAAGTTTCCTTTCACTCCTCCTCTGCTCTTGTGTTACAGACAGCAGAGGGTGAAGGTGAGTGCTCTCGAGCCCTTCTGGGTGGAAGGGGAGGAGAAGTGAACCACAGTACCACTATTTTTCCACAGAAGTGCTTTGGGAGAGCTCCTGTGGAGTACCAGTGCTGCCCCACACCACCCACCCAGGGCTTTCCGTGTCCTTGTGCCTCAGGAGGCTGCAGCTCCTCTCCTGAGCTTCCCCCACAGTCCTGGCAGCTCTGTCCCCCTTCCAGGGGGCATAAAGGGCTTTGCAAGAAGCCAGCTCAGGTCCCACCTCTCACATATTCAAGCTCCTTCTGCCTTCCAGAAGGACACACTCCCTCCAAGCTACCTGCTCCACAAGCAGCTGCTTTCCCAGAGCAAGTGGGCATCACGTGGAGGTGCTGAAGGAAACAAGCAGCAGCATGTCACAGCTTGTGAAGGAAACATGCTGGGAGAAGTGCAGGTGCTAAGCTGGACAAGCAGTTCACAAGAACCTTTCCAAAAAAACCTCCTGCCCCTTCACCTAGTGCCTCTAACTTCTTGCCCTCCCTGCCCCCAGGCAGCCTGGCCTGAGTGGGAAGCCTGGTTGGGTTGTTTGGGCATTCACAGCTCTGAGTTTCTCATTTGGGATGCCTTTCACTGGACCTGATCTTCTCGAAGTGCTAGTGCAGGACTAAAGGTGCAGAAGCAGGGACAGAGTAGCCAAGGGGGGGGAAAAAAAGCACAAATTACTGTTTGGCAGCAACACGTTAAGGAACAGGGAGAACATGAGCTGAAAAGAAATTCAAGGAATCGGAGAAGAGTGAGATGAAAAATTGGGGAATTTGTGATAGTAAAAAAGCTCTAAAGAAAAGGACTGGAAAAGATTCCTGTTAGACTTCATTTTTTTTCTCAAAGGCAACAAACCTTCCTGGCCAGCACCCAGCACCCTCCCTTTCCAAATCAGCATGCCCACAACTCCTCAGGCACTCATTCCAGGCAGCAGAGAGAGCTGGAACATGTGTCAATTCATGCAAGGATTAAGGGAAGGGAAGAGAACACTCTGTTTCTCCTTTTCTACATTCAAATCAAGAAGAAATAAAGGGAAAAAAAAAAAAAGCTATTTAAACCAACCCAAAGCAACAACACACACACAGTTACTCTGAACAGTTCTGCCCGAGAAACAAGAGCACCAAAAGCATCACAGACTGAATTCAAAGACCTGTCTCTGAACAAACACTCAGCCTGCAAAACTCAGGAAAACGTTTGGCTAAAATTCCACTGAATTCAAACCAGGTGCAGCTGCTAGTTAAGGAAGGAACAACTCATAGCCCAGTGCTCCCCAGTCTGGCTGTGCCTCAGGGCTGGAGGTGAGCTGGGCATCAGCTGCAAGGTGAGTGATGCCTCCTCCAAGGGTTTTCCCCTCCTTTCACACCCGAGCTGCATGGCAGAAGGTGCCCTGTGCTGATCTGCCCTCCTGCTCAGTCCCAAACCAGAGGTTAGTCATCCAGTGTAAATCCTTTCTCAGCCAGCACCCAGGAGGAATTAAGCCACCCACAGGGGTTCAGCGATGCTCAACATCTCCTAAGACAGGGTCTGATGTGCTTGCCTCTGAGATGAGCTACTGTACTGGGGAGCAAGGGAGACCCTCTAGCTTGGGGGCCACAGTTCTGCTTCCTCTCACCTTCATCTAGTCCCCATCACCATGCAGCAAGGGCCATGCTCTGAACTGGCACCCTCCAGGCTGAGGGAGCTGGGCACAGGTTGGGCAGTCAGACACAGAGGCACCTCCTGGGACACACCTAGCTGCTGCTCTGCACCTTGCTTCTGTGGTAGGATGCAACCACCTTGGGATTTCCTCACTGGGCCAGACAAGCCAGAGAGGAGCAGGAGTAACTGGCTTCTCCATTGGAGAAAAGAAATCGGAGCTCTGGCAAAGGACTGCACAAAACTTCAGCCCAAGGAAGAGAAGAGCTGATCACCTTCCCTCAGCAAGGGGAGCAACACGTACACAGAGCTCATGGCTATCACCTCTGAAGGATGTTACACCCAAGGACACCTCACATTTCTGTAAGTACAAAGTAAATCAGGGGCTGCAGTCAAGTCTCACGAGGGAAATCGTCATTGGTGTGCTGGGAGGCAGAAATTACTGAGGTTAATGCCCCACCCATCCCCAAGCACTAAAGTGTGACCCAGCCCACGTGTTCTGGGAACAACACACACCTAAAACTTCAGCGTGCTGGCTCTCTGCCACGCCCACCAGATGGAAGCATAGGTGCTCCATTCCTAGGGAAATATTTGGCATGAGAAGCAAGTTGTGCTCCAAAGAACGAGTGCAAAGACGAAAGAAAGGGGAAAGCTGTTTCTACCAATTGTGCAATTACCTCCATTCCTGTTAATTAAGCCGTGGCACAAGGCTCAAACTACAACAGCTAAAACACACACAGCAGAGAAGGACAGCTTTTAAATGATGCCTTATTTTTCTTTTATATGTTACAGACTGTATCAGCTGGAAAGGGATTTTTAAATCTTGGCTTATCTGGCCTGATTCTCTGAGAAGTCTGAAGTTTGCTCTGACCTCTCTCACACTCCAAATTTAATATAAGGATGGAACTTAAAAATAAAACACCTCTAAATATTCATTTCTCTGAAAACTGATTTGAAATAGAAACCCTGAAAGGGACTTTACCACTGATTTACACACTGCAGCTGGAAACGATTGGCACCATAGGTAACTTCTGAAGGGTCAATACTGGCTGTGGAGCTTGTTCTCCTAAGGACCTGCTTGGTCCAGGAGAACTCTAGGAACAAAAGCAAGTGGGTTTAGGTGTGGGCTAAGGAATGAAGGTGATAGGACCTACACAGCAGGCACCAAAGGACAACGAGGTTGTTCAGAAGCACGGCCAGCAGCTCGAGTCAGCACCCCCAGACCCAGGCAGCCTCTGGGGAGAGCTGACCCACACGTGTGCCTTTGAGACCTTTGTTCTTGCCTGGTGCACAGAGCAGCACTAATAATACTGCAAGGATAAAACTGTTCAGGTTTTCAGTATGTAACACTTCTTCTTCTAGTGCATCAACACGACAGCCTGAGGAAAACACTGTCTTAAGACCATGACAACAGTGGGTTTGTGCAGCTGGAAAGCACTGCTGCTGCTCCATCTGATCCAGTTTGGGAATCCAGGCACAGCCCCTGCTCAACAACACTGACAACAAACACAAGAATGGGATCTACAAAAGGGCCCAGAACTTCCCTCCCCTGCTGCCTGCAGTCTTTGGTAATCTCAGAGGGACGTTGCAAGCAAGGGACATTTTATGCAACCTGACCCAGAAATGAGGAGAATGTCTGAAAAAGGGGCAGCATTTCCCACTGGAGCTCACCAAGTTCCAGCAGAAAAGAAGTGAGCTGGACCTGTTAAACCCTGCTGTGTCCCGTTTTAGGGAGACTGATGCTTACAGGTCAGAGGAATCAGGAATTCCCTACAGACTAACTGGAATATTGCACTTGGCAGGCTGCCTCCAGCTAACACGTTCCATCACTAACTGCCTACCAGGAGCAGCAGTCACTCCCCAGACTCAGGGGGTCATTCCAACAGCACCAAGTCCTCTCTTTCATCATCCACCACTTCATCTGCCCACAGAGACCAGGTGAGGAGCCAGCAGCAGCACACGTTTGTTTGACAGGCTCCACTCCCAGTATCAAAGAGTAACACAGAAGGGTGAGGCAGCCACTTTAGAGGACTCGGTTCTGCAGAGCTGTAAGAAGACTTCTGTTTAGGAAAGAGTTAGTTTCAGGTTGAGGTTTCCAAGTAACTCAGAGGCTCATTAAAAAGGAAAAAAAAAAAAAAAAAGAAAGAAATCCAACAACAGAAAAAAAAACCCCAAGCAACCAAACAAGAAAGGTAAGTTCTCTGCTGCAGGAGAGCAGGGACAGAGTGAGGGAACACTAGCATTGCTCTTTCTACACGTGTTGTACTTTTCCCCAGCAAGGGCTGTGGGGATTAAGCTACTACCTTTCAACGTTAGTGCTGTGCTGTAATTTACGGAGAAGGATCTGCGTCAGGTCAAAGGTTGTGAAGCTTATTCCCACTGCAATTGGACCTTTGACCCAGTTCATGCTGAGTCCTTTGTACAAGCCACGGATTAGTCCCTCTTCTCTTATAATCTCCTGCATGGTGAGGAGGATGGAGCTGTACGTGTGTCCCATGACCCCCGCCGTCTGCATTCGTCGGCGAACCACGTCCAGGGGGTAGGAGGCTGACTGGCCAATCAGCCCTGCACAGGCACCAAACAACAGCCTCTCCGGGGGGGATGGCTGGGATTTCCCACTGTGATCTGGGGAGAGAAAGCAGCAGAGTGTAGGAAGCTTCCTGTAACAAAGACACGACTAAGGTCGAGTGGGCTGAGAGCCAAAGAGAGTGCCAGAGCTCCCGAGGATTTTGTTTCCAACTTGGCTGTTAGGTGAGTTGGGATGTAACCAAGTCCTGCTGCAGCCAGGGCCTGCACCTTCTCCTTCCTCTGCAGGACACGGGCTGCTTGCCTGCAGCTTGCCTTCTTCACAGCCTGGAACTCAGAGAGGGAGGCACAAGGCATCCTCCACAAGGACAGAACTTTGCAGTTGGCTCCAAGGCCAGGAACAGGACTTGTAGCACTGAATTCAGACACCTCAAGTTGGCCAAAAGGCTACACCATTTCACTCAAAAGCAAACCCAGTTGCCTTTACCTGCATGTAGTTTCTTCAGTGTCTCGTAGGTGAAGAAGCTAAGCCCAGCATATGGAATCACTCCAAGGATGGTTGGTGTAAACCCCCTGTACAAAGTCTTCAGTCCTTCCTCTCGGGATATTCGGATGAAGACATGAACAATATTGCTGTACCTAGCAGGTGGACACAGGAAAACCAAATCTGTGCTGGTTAGTGCCTGCACACACCAGTGATAATATTTCCAACAGGACTTTCTGAAGGATCAACAATTAATTAATTCGGCTCTGAGCTCATCAAACAGCTCAGAAGGGATTTCAGAAGCCTGTCCTCAAATGGAGGAGCCAGCGACCAGCTCTCCTCTAGCCCTACCACAACATGCTGCCCTGTCTGCTCCATCTCTTGTGGAGGCACCGTGCCAGCTGGCCTCCTAAAGAACCCCCACAGAGGCTTCACTAGTGAGGTCTTTCAGTATTGATCTCCTTCCAGCCCCTGGACTAACCAGACCTCTGGCCATTTAATCAGTGCTCAGACCCCAGCAGTAAGAGGTTTATTACACCGAAGGCTCCGAGCAAGAAGTGACCCAGAAAATGGGAATAAAGTCATCTGACCTTAAAAGAAAGTTCTGGGTTTGTTCGTGGTGCTTGTACTTGCTTTTGTGAGGCACTTACATCTCCTTCGGCGTGACAGCCATTCGAGCACGGACCATATCCAAGGGGTAGGTTAGCATGGCAGCCGTGGTGCCTGCCAGAGAGCCAGCAATGAATCGAGGGAAGGGTGTCAGCGCTCTAAGGTGAGAGAAGAGACCAAACAGATCACCTGGAGATGGAAAAACTACGTGGCTTTTGAGGATGGCTCTACTCTACCTGCTCCTGAATCCCTTCCCTGCCTGCCTACCGAAGAGAGGGGGGTGGGTGGGGGTTGAGGCAGCTGTGGTTTGCCACAGTCAGTTAAGACATAGAGGCTCAGAGAAATCTCTGCTGAGGACAGCAAGCCTGACTTGGGGTGTCTCAGACACTGAATGCCCAAGAGCAAGAGGCTCAGGCCACACGCACAGCTCGGGTAACAGCACGAGGCTGGATCTTGTTGCTTCTCCTGCAAAGCCAAGCTCTTTGTTTTGCCTGCCTGCTCAGCACAGGGAAGCACTAGCTTCTAGGCCACTTCTTGCTCACGCCTCTAGAAGACAGGGTCTTCTTCTCACGAAGATCTCCCCTGTGCAAGACCCTGACCCCAGCCCCTTGCTTAGCCCCCCTTCCTGTTCTGTGGAGACATGGTGAGAGGAGCTGGCACAACTCTGTACCAGCTGAGCTTCCAGCTCAGGAGTCGTGGATGAAGCAGAGAAACAAATGTGCTCCTTCCCTCCCTCCCTCCCTGCAGGCCACGGCCCCACGGACCGCTCCATCCTCTGCCAGCAGCAAAGCCACCCTGCATCTTACTTTCCCTGGAAGCCGTAGTAGCTGCCCAGGAGCTGCTTGTACTCCTCGTGGGCACAGAACTGGATGGCAGCATAGGGGATCACACGGACCATGGTGGCCGAGTTCCCTCGCCAGAGACTCCAGAAGCCTTCGTTGAGGTAGGTGCGATAAATCAGCCTGTAGGCTTCCTGCAGGCAACGGATCAAAGGTCAGCCAGGGAGATCATGATAAGAGGGAGTCCAAACAACAGAGGAGGAAAAGGTGACCCTATAGCTTAACCTCTCCAAATCCTCCTTCCCACCCCAAGCACAGCGAGCTGCTCTCAGCCGTTTACGCTCGCAACCCTGGCTCCAGAATACGACAACTGAAACTCCTTCTCTAGGGAGACCCAGTCAGAGACATCAGAGCAAAGAGAGACCTGGAGTTCATTCTCCCTCCAAGGGCAAGGCACAGAGCTGGACTGCTGTTTGCACAAACCATTTCCTAATTAATCTTCTTAGTGTAAGACAGAACCATTTGGATAACACACTAGCACAGCACACATGGAGCAGCCGTAACCCACACGCAACAATCACCTCCCAAATTCTCATTTCCTATCTACTCTGAAACACCTCCCGTGGTGGCTGGGGGAGAGAAAGCAACCACTGGAGGAGAAGGTCTCAAAACAGAGCCCTGAGTGATGCCACAACATTTACTGTGATGCCACAGTGAATTTCCTGGAGCATGAATGAGGACTGAGGCCCCTCTGGGACAGGCACTGGCTAAAAACATGACCAGAGAAAAGCTAAGGAGTATTATAAACACAGTGCTTCCAGTTGTTCCCCCTCTGTTCTTTCACTATGAGCACTGCTAATAAAAGCCAAGCAAGAAAGTTAAATAAATACAAACAAAAGATGCTGTTTAGGGCTATTACTACCATTAATCAAACACTTCAGGTCAACAGGAGACAGACACACCACCTCACCTTGGCAGAAAATCTTTTTGAAGACACTAAAAAGGAAAAAAAAAAGAGCATTAGATCTTGCAATACATTTAGATGGGTCAAATAAACCATACAGGCATTTTATCCAAGGGATAAAACAAAGAAGCAAAAGAATTAATGCAAGGGAAAAGAGAGATTCTTTGTAATAAACACTTTCCACTGGTAAGTGCTCCCAAACTCTTTTTAGCACCCAAGTTCATTTTTTCCACCTGCTGTTAGGAAAATGATAATTTTCTGTCATGTTTGCCACTTTAAAGCACTAACAATAAATGAATAACTAAAAAATGAGAAAAAAACCCTAATCAAAACTGCACTGACTGCTTATTTTTGAGCATTTCCATGCACAGGTTCCAGCCCAGTGCCAGAATCCAGCACAGAACGGGGCTGTTTAGTGAAGCTCCACGCAAGAGTGGTTCCATCCCAGCCAAACTCAAATGAACCCTCAGTTTCTCTTCTTGCATCCATTCAAAGTGACAGCATCTCTTTAACTATGTAACACACGAGGCATTTGGAAGCAAGATTTATTTGGCATACAGCAGGTCTGGTTTGTTCCTCCAGCAGGAAGGAAACTCAAGGCTAAAACCCGAGCAGCAACGCTAATGAAACATGGTTCCAATTAAGTGTCTGTTGCAGTTTCTTTCCAACTCCTTTGAGACTTGTAACCTCTCAAGTGTATCAAACAACCCCATGCAAATACAGTTTTTACCACGCTGCTCCTTTATGCAATTCAACACTTTTTTTTTTAAGAAATAAAACCATCTCCATAGGCAATTGCAGCTGGCTCTGCAGTGGAAACGAGCTCTTCTCCCTCTCCCACAGGAAAATTTTTCAGCTGCTGGTTCAAGGGACAACCTTCCTACACTCCCATGGCCCCAAGATGCTTTCCTTCCTCATACTCAAAGATGAGGCCCCAGAGTAAAAACCTGTAGGAGAGGAAGAGACTAAGAAACCCACGAGATGCCACAAAACTGGTCAGAACGGGCACGTTTTGTTTCCTCTGCAGCAAGTTTAATGGACCACACCAAAGAGGTCTCTTTATAAATGGAGGCCTGTACAAATTAAAGGGGATTTAGATGGTCAGCTGTTGACTCACCCCAGTTCTGCAGCTCCCACCTCACCTCTGATCCTGACATTTCCAACCTTAGATGAACCAGAGTGTTTTCTCTGGGGAGAAAGCACAGCACATCCTCACTGCTGCCCAGGCAGCTGCTCCCAGCCACCATCCCAGGCAAGGCTTTCCCTCCCTGTGGCTTCCACCCCCTGATCTCTATCCCTGCTGGCCCAGAGCTCAGACCCTGCTACGCCCAGAATGAAAAGCATGTCAAATGAAAGTCAATTCAAAATTAAATCTCATCCAGGGATTGGATTAAACCTACCCAATTCATTTAATCTGGGATGTCAGCTAGATTTAAAATTCCTGGCCTCACCAAATGTCTGCTGTACTCACTGCCTGCACACTTCCCTTTGGGACAACCCGTGTAGCTGACAGTCCCTGAAGTGAAACAGGGGAACTGCACACCCAATTCATTTAATCTGGGATGTCAGCTAGATTTAAAATTCCTGGCCTCACCAAATGTCTGCTGTACTCACTGCCTGCACACTTCCCTTTGGGACAACCCTGAAGTGAAACAGAGGAACTGCACAGAGCCCACGATGAGCCTGAATCCCAAATCCCACTGAACACATGGGAATTTTCTATCCCAATGAGCTAAATTCCATTTGCAGTTACACACTTTAGGAACACACAGCTTGGTTTGCAGCTTCAAGGCTTCTCACAGGACTTCTCATCACTTTAACCACACTTCAACCCTAAAAACAACAATTCAGCTGCAATACAAAGCAACTTGTAGTAGAAAAGAGTGCATACCTGTGAGCAGGCACAGCCAGGCATCCAGCCTCTGGCCAGACACTCTCAGAGCTCAGCTACCTCCCTCCAGTGTCACCACAATCCTCAGATTGCTCCTTCCCCTTCCCACCTTATTTCTCCAAACTGAACAGACCCAGAAATCCAGAGTGTCACCAACCACCCCCTCAAATGGTGCCTTTACAGTGTCCATTTGCCCTGCACCCCAAAACTCACCCTTATGTCACAGGACACACATAACCAGCCAACACTGGTGAGCCACAGGCAACTGTCTCTAACCAGCAATACAGAATCATGGAATCATTTGGTTGGAAAAGACCTTTGAGATCCTCAAGTCCAACCATCCCCCAGCTCTGCCAGGTCCCCACTGTCCCGTGTCCCTCACACCACATCTCCACAGCTTGGAAACCCCTCCAGGGGTGGGGACTCCACCACTGCCCTGGGCAACCCTCCAGGGCAAGAAATTTTTCATAATATTCAACTTAAACCTCCCTGGGTGCAACCTGAGGCTTCTTGTCCTGTTGAGGACACGTGCATCAGTGTTACACTGAAACAGCAAAACTCTTGCTGACTCCCATGAGACTTGGACCCAGCACTCCAGGTCAGAGGCACAACTGACTGGCACCTGGAATCAAACAACCCCACCAGGAATCAAACAATAGGTTCCTAGACTCAATTCACTGTGGTCCCATCACTGTTCTGTCTGCACCCTGCCCTGCCAGGTCACTGCAGGATGGCTGAGTGCAGGAGAACAGGCTGGCTGAGCAGATCAGAGAAGCTGCTGTGGACTCTGCTAACAATAAAGCAAAAGCATTTTGCAAAAGCCAAGGAGACTCACCTTGAAACATGATTTTTGTCCTATCCAGTGGAGCTACTGCAGTTTTAGCAACAGCACCAGCCAATGCACCAGACATCAGGGAGTTGAGTACTTTCTTTTTCTCCTGGTTACCCTAGAACAAAGCATTGTTCAGTATGACACACTCCATCCTAAGCAAAAGTTGTAGAGTTTTACCTTTCCTACAGCATTTACCCCCTCTCAAGGACATGGGACAAAATTCTCTTCAAGGTTTCAAGTACAGTAAGCTGCTGGTCAGATCATGAAGCATTTGTCTGCCAAGATGCAAAGTTCTAGGGTCTGACACCTCTTACATGTGCTGTTTTTTCCCCTTTTGAGATTTTTAAAAGCTAAGCCACTACCTCCTCATCATTTAGGCATGTAGAGAAGCCAGGTTTCTTTCTTGCCCTTCCAGCCACACGCAAGCCCTATTTCCACATTGTTCCCAAGACCCTAAGAATAAACCAAGACAGGTTCCTACTATGATAAATGGAATGGAATTGGTGCCTTCCCTGCCACAGCTCATATTTATAAAAGCAGCTATCTTCTTGTAACACATGGGCAGAAAGCAAGCAAAAGACTTGAAGTCTCCCACCGTGAAGGTTACGAGCTGGAAGATGAGTCCAGCCAAGGCTCAGGAGCCTTCACTTCTGACACATTTCATGTTTTCATGGGGCAGTTAACACTGGTCTTTACTCAGAGTGTTTCACAATTAAAAAGTTAATGTTTGCTCCCAAAAGACATGGTTTCATTTGATTTTTCCCTTCCAGGCTCTGCCTGGCTGCTGCTGACCGCAAGGGTGGCCATGCAAAGGCAGCACGGGGTGAACTTCAGCCTGGGTTTGGGTCTAACTCAGAGCAAGGTTCAGCATCTCCTTCTGTCCCAGCACTTCTAACAAGAGTCTAGAAACAGCAGCAAGAGCAGGGGCAGCCAGACACGTGGCTCTCCTCCCAGCTCTGCCACCAAAGACATAACCTTGAGGGAGGAAGGCAGCCCTGCCAGCAATGCCCAGCCTCTTCCCAGAGGGCTGGAACTGCCTGGCCACCCTCTGAGAGAGCAAATCTCACACATCCACTGTAGCTCCTTCCAGACTCTGCAGCTCAAACCCCATTGAGATGCTTCCTTTGGACAGGAACCACACAGGTCTCCTCTCAAACCCACTGCAGAGACCCAACAACCTGCTGCTCTTACCTCTGAGAGGAGATGGGGTGATGAAACCTGCTCCACATCCTGCTGTTTGAAATCCACTTGACCTTCTCTCACACCATTACCCATACCAGTTGTACTTACAAGTGGGCAGAAGAGCTACAGCTCCTAAATTAAAAAGGAAGACAAAGCAACAGTTAGTACCAGCAGTAGGAAACAGGGAGGTAATAAAAACCTTGTATGGGAAGGGACCTACTCCCAGGGGCATTTTCAGTAGGAAAACCCCCATCCCAAGCTCCCAGCTGAGGAGCATTCCCAGGATCCTTGCCCCATGTCCTTCAAGGTGCCAGTGTATGTGTGTGTGTGGTGCTATGTAAAAACTGTGTTGATCACATTCACTCTTTTCAGCCCAGCAAGTTATAACACCAAAATATCCATAGTTTCTAGGATCAGACTCAGATCCTGCTCTGTCCTCCTCCAAAGTTACAGTGAGGAGAGTTTGGTTGCTGTTTAATCTGCCTGCTGAGCAGCCAAATATTGGAGAAGACACACAAGAAATTTAAAACCCAGGCCTGGAAAATGGAAAAAAAAATAGTCCCAGCAGTCAGTCCTGCGAGCTGCTGGAAGCAAGTGGGGATTATTCTGGGAAGGAGGTGGATCCAATGCCTCACACGTGCCACACAGGCTATTTTGATGACACCAGTGACAGGACTGAAAGCAGCCCAGCAGTGACTTCAGAGCTCACTCTCTCGTGCAATGCACAAGAGCTTGGTGCTGTTGGCACAGATGCCTCTTGCTCTGACAGGTGCTCTCACTTGCCTCACGAAAGGCAAGGTCTTGTCTAACCCCAGACTAAACACAGAGACAAGGCTGTAAGCAGGAGCAATCCCTTCAGCATCTAACTTCCTAACGCTTCTGCTTTTTGTGAGGCAACTTTTTCATCTTTACAGATGCAGAAATGAAAGGGCTGGAGCCTGAAGAGCTGGAGCCTGAAGAGCTGGAGCCTGAAGAGCTGGAGCCTGAAGAGCAGGGTGGCCTCTCGAGCTCCCACACCAGGCACAAACAGGGCGTGCGACTACAAAGACCAGTTTTCTAGGCAAGGAGCCTGCTCAGGTAGACTCATTTCCATTGTCAGCCTCCTTTCAAGGGAGGTGCTGTTCAGAAATCTCAATTCCTGAGCTGCTCCCCAGTCGTGCCACAGCCTCTCTCACGTGTCCTCCAGCAAGTTCCTCCACCCTGGCCCCCCATGCTGCCTGGGACACCTCAGGCACAGCTCGCTCGCTTGGAAAGACAGTCTTAAGACTATTTTTTTTCCCTATTTTTAACAATCTGAAGATATTATATGCTTGTCAGCACCTTTCATACTTGCTGACCTATTTTTTTTCCCCCCACATAGCTCTCATAAATTAGTGCCAGGCTTCACTTTCAAACCCCCCTTGGTTGCAGCAGAGGTATTAAGGCGAAGCCAGGGACGGCTCAGCCTCGTCTGTACTCGTGCATGACCAATTTGGGATGATGAAGCTATGCACGACCTGCACGCTGGGTCCAGAGGAGGACAAACCCACCTGGGTGTCTCTAAGGCCAGACATCACTTGCTAGAGCTTTGGGAAGACACGTCTCCATGTGTTTACAACTCCAGAGGGTGTTTTTGAAGAGAGGAGATTGCAGGATGCTGCTCGGAGAGTAATAACTCAAGATTTTAATGAAAGATAACATCTGATGAGCCCAAAACGTGACCCAAGCAGCATCAGCGTTTGAATTTGGAAAGTTCTATCACAGCAGCTTGGTCACATCAGACCATGTGAATAAAAACTGGAAGGATCAAGACCAAAGATGATTTGTAACACCACGGAGCAGAGCACTTCAATTATCCTGAAGAACACAGACTGCTGATTATTTCTAATTACCATATGCAGTTACTTCCTTCATTCCTCCTTATCTCAGGTACCTGGAAAATGTACTGGAAACCAACATCTTTCAGCAAAAGCATGAAAGAAATCACAGACAGAGTTGTTATCCCTAGCTTGTCTCCAATAAAGAAATGTAGGTCACCATATCAGACTTCTCACTACCAAAAATAAACCCACAAAAATAGAAATCATGCTAAAGAGCTTAGGCATGCAATATGCAATAACTTTATTTTAAAACATTATTATGAAAGATGATTGAGAAAGAGGGGACTAAAAGGAAATTTTAAAATCTAAACTGATGTTATTAAGCCTGGACTTATTTTAGAAGATGCACAGGCATAAAGATACACACATTTACTCCACAATATTCTCTTTGATCCTATCTAGATGGGTTCTTTTCCCTATTTTTAGCCCCCAGTGCCCTGATCTTGCAAACACCTGCCTGTATGCTCAGTTTTACACATTAAAACTGCCCCACATGCTCTACAGAAGCAGAGGCTCTAAACTTGCAGGAGCTTAAATATAAATCAAGGCTTTCTTATTTTTACTCACATTTGCCTGCTGCAGAGCAATGTGGCTGCATTTTATTTTGGAGTTGGGCTGGACTGTGAGGTTGGTGAGTTTTTAGGTGAATTGTGACCAATAACACATTTGAGACACAGAACAAAGCTTTGCTTTAAGGTTTCAGTGTGAATTTGTAGCTCCCAGCCATTAGGACACAGATATTATTTTGCATATAGAGAAATCTGATTCCCTCATTAAGTAATCCACTGAAACCCAACGTGGAGCAGCTGGATATTTTTTAAATCCTTGTCTCTTGTACAGCTCTGTACAGAGTCATTACTTCTGTTTACAAAGCCACAGGAAAGAAGGGGGGAAAAAAAAAGGGCTGTGGATTAGGTTTCTTTTTTCTGCAACACATCTGTGTTATTTAGATTGCAGTTACCCGAGTCCTTGTCACACATCTGGAGCCAGATTCCTCAGCTCAAACCATTCCCCTCAGAATATAGAATCAGAAAGCAGAACTGCTGGCCAAGGCGAGTTCAGAAGTTAAAGAGGTTTAATGAGTAACACACGCCGTGCTTCTACCACAGAACCCCTGACAGCTTATTGGAGGTACAACACACCCGCTTGGGCGCCCAGTTTCATCCCCATCAGAACGTGGCCGTGCTAATTCAGTCGTGGATGAAAGATTATTGCCCAAGTTGTGAAGCAGGGAAGCTCAGGCCCTTGGTTTTTGGCAGCAGCAGCATCCCAGCCAAACCCACGAACTCGGCTGCGAGGGTCTGTTTGGGGATGGCCCTTTGAGCCCGGGGATGCTTTCTAGGTATCCTGCCTGTCTTCCAACAACTGCAAAAACATCTGTGTGCTAAAGCCAAGTTTCATTCTTCGCATACCAGGGGAGGCAGAGAATATGCTGGGCACACTAAAAAGTGGAGCATTGTTCATCTTCCCTCTCCCTTCTCCCGGCTCTCTCCGGCACTTAATGAATACCTGAGCGAGTTCAATCAAGCTGTCAAACCAACTCGCTGACAAGTCAGACGTTCTGCTCTTCTTGGTGGTGATTTTGATTAAAAGGACAGGCGAGACAGAATCAAGTTATTCAGATGATAAAAGCAACCTCCAAGGAAGAATGTCTTACAGGCAGGTGCCAGTTCAGCGCCCCGAGCGGGGTGGGGGCTCTGAGAAACGGCTCTAGCTGTCCCAGCCACTTGTGAATCCAATCATGAGGCCAAATTTCAGCTCTGGCATCTGAGTGGATTTTAAATGACACAGTCTCAAGACAATTAGTTCCTCAGTCAGTGAGTTTCAGAGCCCAGCATCACAATTAAGAAACGAGCACAAATTCTGCACTGAGGGTTCAATGAAAAGCACGTTGCTGAGGTAAAGGCTTGCAGATTATTAGATACTTCCAGGTTTCAGAATTAGATCTTATTTAAAAGCTTGACTTCACATCACTGTGGCACAACCTGCCTGAGATCCCTGCTTCATGTATTTCACCAGCTGGGCAGGCTCTTGCCCATGGCAGACCAACACCATCGACCTCCAGGAGCAGGAGGAGGAGGAGGAGGAGGAGGAGAGCTGGGTTTTGCACAGAACCCAGAGCTGATGGAGGCAGAAATGACACCCCCCCGGCCCCTCTAGGCTTCACTAACCTCCAAACCAACACCTACACAGACCCAAAACGACCTGTTAGCAGAAAAACACCTTAAGTACAAAAGCAGACCTCAAAATGACAGTTTTCATGTTACTACAGGCAGAAAAGAGGAGCAGCTCAGGCAGCCAGCCCAGAGACAGGCTTGCAACGTGTCACTATCAAAAAAACCCCCCATGTTTGTCTGATATTCTGCAGTGGAATTTAGACCTTTCACCAAACACAAAGATTTCTGAAGGATGGTCAGCTGCCCTGCAAGGACAGCAGACACCCTGCAAAGCAAACAGCACCAGCAGCTATCTGAACCCAACGGCAGCTCTCTGTCACCTAGGAAATGTTTGGGTTTAACTCAGACAACCCCAGGGGGAGTGACAGAAGCAGTTCAGAGTGCTGGACACGGCGTGTCCCAGCAGACAGGCAATGGCAAAGCCACAGAGCTGCAGAAGCCAAGAGCTGCCGGGACTCAGTGCCCACAAAACGTGCTGGATTTGTAGGATAGGCAGAAGAAACTCAGTCCTGCTGTCCACCAGTCTCTACTCACCATCAAAACCAAGCAGACAAAGCAAGGAGCACACAAACTTAGAAGATGGTTTTAATTAGCCACTGGGAGTTGTGTACAGCACCTATGGTACTCACAGCTCCCAGGCATCCCTGTCACACCAACCTGAAGTTCAACTCTGGGGCAGAATTTCAATTCCATTCAGGTAAAGCCACTTGTGTAACTCCATTCAGAGACACCAGCTTCCCTCCCTACTCAATATCTAGTCTCCAATTCTTTTTATTATTATGTCCTTGACATCACTAATGAAAGCGTATAATTAAATTAGGAGAAAAGAAAACCAAGAGTGCTCCTGCAGAAATTTTCACACGTTTTTTTTCCCAGGCAGGCTGAAGTTAAACAGTACCCAGGGAAGTTGCTCAATTAGGTTTCCTTCAATTGTTATTGTTAAACTGAGCGATTGAGCCTGACAGAGAAAGAGATGCTGGAAGAGCTGAGATTACTGCAGCCTGAAATTCACCCTCCGAGCAAAAGCATCACAGAAAAAAAGGGCTGAAACACTCAGAACAGGGGGATGAACTATAAGTGGATGGCC